ATATAATAATATATATAAAGATTTAAATAAAAATATTGATTCTAAAGATTCTAATATTAATAAAAGTAGATTAATGATTGAAATACCATTTAATTCTAATTTGCCTACCCTGTTAGACAATCTAAGCATACACGAGGAGTAGAATTGTAATTAGATATATATAATCTCGCTTATATATCATATATTGAATCAAAGAATCAAAATTATAAATTTAAATTAAACAATATTGATGATAATCAATATAAAAAGAATATATTATTATTATATTTCAATATAAAAACTGATGAAAAAGTAATAATAAAAAGGCTTTATAATAAAAATCTAATAACTCCTAAAACATATTCACAAGCTATAAATTCTGATCAAAAAGAATATTAGGAAAAAGCTATGGAATATAAAATAAAGATTTTGAAAAAAATAAAACCTGGGATATTATTATTAAAAAGAATAATAATAATATACCAAAGCTAAATGTCCTAAAGACAAAATAGATTTATAAAATTAAATATTTATCTGATAATAATATTGAATTTAAAACTAGATACATAGCTAAAGGGTTTGAACAACTATATGGATTAGATTATTTAAACACTTTTACTAACATAATAAAGCAAATAGCCTGGAAATTGGTATTTGCACTAGTAATAAATAAAGGGTAATATATATATAAAATAGACATAGTTTTAGCTTTTGTACAGAGAGATATTAATAAAAATATATACATCAAAGCCCCTGAAATATATCATAAAAATGATATAATATTAAAGCTAAATAAAGCTCTATATAGATTAAAACAATTCGCTAGAATCTGGTATACTACATTAAAAAGCATATTAAATAAATTAAATTTTATTAATATAAAATCAAACGAGTATATATTTATAAATAAATATTCGGGATTAATATTGAATATATTCGTTGATGATATTGCTATTGTAGGCTTTAGCGAGGTTCTAATCAAAGATTTTATTAAAAATCTTAAAAACCATTTAGATCTAAAAGATTTAGATCTAATAAAAGATTATTTAGGTATTCAAATCAATTTAAATAAAGATTATATTGAATTATATCAAGAAGAATACATAAATAAATGTCTAAAAGATCTAAAACTAAAAGATTGTACCCTTGTAGCTACACCTATGGTTGCTAAAAATGATATAAAAATAAATCCCAATAAAGTCGATTTAGATAAAATAAAATGGGCTCAAAAAGCAATAGGGAAATTACTATATTTAGTATTAGGAACTAGATAGGATATTGCTTATTCTGTATTAAAATTAGCAAGATATATATCTAATCCTAGTAAAGACCATATAATAGCTATGAAAAGAATATTTCGATATTTAAAAGGAACTAAAACGTTTAAAACTACATATAAAAAAGATAATAATAAATATATCAAAGGATTTTGCGACACAGATTATACGGGAGATAAAAGCTCTGCTAAATCCACTAGTGGCTATATATTTATATATGCTAATAGTCCAATCAGCTGGAGGACTAAATTGTAATCTGTCGTAGTACAAAATACAGCAAAATCCGAGCTAATTGCTATAAATTTAGTCGCTAGAGAGACTATATATTTAAGATATATACTACAGGAATTAAATCAATTTAATCAAAATAAATTCCCATTATATATGAATAATACGTTGGTAAAAGCTATATCAGATAATCCTATATATCACAATAGGAGTAAGTATATAGATACTAAATATTATTATATAAGAGATCTTATAAATAAAGGATATTTAGATCTAATATGGATTTCTATAGAAAATCAATTAGCTGATGGATTAACTAAGCCATTAGAAAGAATCAAATTATCAAGATTTATTGATATGATTCAAAATTTTAATAATTATTATTATTATTAAAATAAAAATATATATAAAAAATTAGTACTCTTTTTTCCTTTAAAAATAAGAAGGTTTTTAATGAGACTAATATATATATATTTATATATATATATAAAAAGATGATACATATTAAAGGGGACTATTGTTTTAATTAAAAAATAATATAATATATATATCTTTTTAAAGGCATTCAATCTAATATTAGCTTATTATATAATCAGATCATATGATCGTCGCTTATAAGCTTACGAAAGCAACCATTAATCCGAAAACAACCATCAATTCGAAAACGGCCATAAAATACGAAAACGGCTATAAAATAAAGAAAACAAAAAGGGGCTTTATTTCGAAAGAATGGACGGATTAGGAAGAGATCTACAAGAGATTTATGAAAGCGGAAATACTGAATTAGAAGGAAAAAGCATAAAAAGAGGCTTTTTTTCCCTTGAATGTAGAATAAGAGAGATCACTATTTTTTTCAATACAGATTCTTTAATATCACGTGTCACACTGCTTATATAATCCATTTTAGTCGTTAATCAGAGCCAGCTTCCATACTATACTATTAGCCTATGACCTACGATAGTTTCCATGCAACATTTTGATGTTACGGTCGCCCTGATTTTGTAAGGCCAAGCTGTAGTCTTGGTATCTCCCCGCATTTCCCCGCATCACTCTTCATTTTTGACAGATGCTTCTTGAAGTATGAAGTCTGTCAAAAGTCTTGAATTAATAGATTCAAATGACATATCTCCTGCTAGATCCGGAATCATCTTTATCATTTTGGGAAGAACCAGCATTTTGTACACGTCATGGCCTATATTTGTTACCCTCCAGATGATGTATGGTGAAGTATCACTGTTCTAAGTTGACCACATCAATTCCTATAACTTAAGCTACCTTGCTCTGTGGAAAGTCTTTCATGGTAGTTCCCCTAATCACTTCATTTCACTTCTATCTAATTGTAGCTACAGCAATCCTTTCTCATCTTCATCATGGCAATTCTCGTCACCGGCGGTACAGGGAAAACATCTATTCAATTGGCCCACCGTCTTCAATCCGCCTCCATCCCTTTCCTTCTTGCTTCTCGAAAAGCCAAATTGACTGCTCCTGATGGAATGCAAGCCATCAACTTTGATTACACAGATTCATCAACTTACCAGGCTATCTTTTCTCATTCCTTTCCAAGCGATGAAGTCATCAAAGCCGCTTATCTAGTTGCTCCAGAAGTTCCAGACCCAATGCCTGTCATGAATGCATTTATTGACGTCGCAATTAAGAATGGCGTCAATAGATTTGTCTTACTAAGTGGTAGTGATACAGAGAAAGGTGGAGGTGACACTGGAGGTGTTTGGCAGCACTTGGACGATGTTGGTGTGGAATACTCGGTTTTGAAGGCCAGTTGGTTCATGGGTACGTGATCTATCATGTAGAACTATGATCGAGTGTTGTTAATCGGCCAAAAAGACAACTTCATTACCTGGCCATATGTTCAGAGCATCAAAGAAGAAAATAAATTCGTTTCTGCAATGAGCGATGGCCAAGCTCCATTTGTATCGGCGAGTGACATTGCTAGAGTAGCAATGGCTGCACTTACCAGCAACAATCCTCCAAATCACGACTACAGAGTTCTTGGCCCTGAATTGCTCAATTATGATGAGGTATCTATGTTATTCTTCAGCCCAATAATACGTTGGCTTATCAATTGTAGATTGCTGCAAAGTTGAGCAAAGTTCTCGGACGAACAATTGCCCACTTCAAAGTAACAGGTGAGGAGAGGATACAGACGCACGTTAGTATGGGGTTACCCGAAGATCTTGCATGTTATTTGACTTCGTTGGAAGTTATGACTGCAAATGGCGGGGAAGTGAGACGAAATGATGTGGTAGAGAAGATTGGAGGCCACAAACCTAAAACCTTTGACGAGTTTGCAGAGGAGAATAAGGATCTCTGGATGTAGGTCAATCTCTTATTGTCTGGTTGACAAAGGAGGGTCCTGATTCAATTGATACATTATGTAATAATGTTCCTTCTCTTGAGGACCAGATTTCAGTTGAACCACTATGTCATCATACACCGGATGATCGAAAGCTATCGAACATTATCCTTAGGGATTTCCTATCCCCAACTATAGACTAGTCGGACTCTGGAAGAACTGTTCATGACATAGGGTTCATAAAGAATGAAATGATAGAAACTTCCGATGAAGTATCCACACATTTTGATTTTCAGTTCTGAAGATTATTAGATTTACAAGAAGTCTAGGTATAAGCTTTGTGAATAAGACTCAAATGAGATGTCCCATCAGTCAAAAATTGAGTTTCCTTGAGCTGAAAACATTTTTCGATAAGTTTCAAAAGCTTCTGTTCCCCTATTTTGCGATATACCACCAATACTCCAGGAAGAGACTCCATTGACTTGTCTCCCAATAGCTCTAAATTAGGAGACGTCCGTCTGCACCTGCTTACTTCCAGCTTCTACAAAAATTCAGCGTTTAGCTACTCCCAGATTCTAATCTGAGCCTTGATCTCAGAATGTTTTAACGCGGTGAAGAGGGTTGAGTGTGGAGCAAGCTTGACATGCTTGATGGTCGATCGCCAATTAGCCTGCTCACATGCATCAAACCCTGAGCCAAATACGGTTGCTAGATCTGGTTTCTTGTAGAAGCTTGTGCCGACCAACTCGTGATATGGGCCTTTCCAGGCGGTCAGAGTGATTGTTCTTCGTGCCTCCATACACGTGAGACAACATTGAAGCGCACGTGGACTAGGCTTTTCGGATTCTTTCACAACATCTAGGCCTGCGACCAATAGTTGAATGACTTTGAGAGATGGCAGAAGTTGCAAGAGGGGGTTTTGTGTCCAATCATCAAAAGTGACGACTGTGAACTTGACTTCATCTGTACACATAACCTGTGGTGAATAAAATCAACAGGATCCACTCCTGTTGACCACGATCTTAAACCCTAGATAGAATCAAGATCCTCAAGCTCTTCCAATTCTTTTCCAATCCATTCTCTTGAAGATTGACCCATATAATTCAACATTAATTCAAAAGATAAACTGAAACAACCTCTCTTTTCTTTGATAGATCCACAAAAAATCATTGCTTCAGGCAAAGTAGACGGTGCACATCGGCCGGATGATCCCCAAGTCCAGATCAAAGTTTCATTGTAAGAACATCCCTTCTACTTGCGTATGCAAACATTAATCAATTGTGGTATACTTCGAGCTGTCTGAAATAGCAACTTTGGAACCTAATGATGCAGTGGATAAATCTTCTGAGAAGCGTAAAGCTGAACGTAATCAACGAGAGAAATTGAATGCTAGGAATGCCATCGCGGAGAAAGCCCGACAAGAAATTGAAGAACGAGAAATGCTGGGAAGTGCCAGTCAAGATACTAAAATTCCATTATCAGTTGGAAGTGGAAAGACCCAAAAGTCCCTTGCAAGTGGTTGCTTCGACGGCAACAGTAGCATTGATTGTGTTGTTGAAAGCTCCACCCTGGCACAGGAAAAGACCGAAGGTATTGAATTACAATTGTTTTTCTACACACATCAAATACTGACATTGATTCAGTATACTTTTCAAACGCCATGTTCGAGATCAAGGCAAGTCCCGGAAAAGGTCTTGGGGCTTTCGCCACACAAGATATCAAAAAAGAAACAAAGGTTTTGAGAGAAGCGCCTGTGATGAACTGTGGTACGCACTGGCTCCTAAAAGAGGTATTCTTCATGTCACCCAATGAGGAAAAGAAGAAATTTCTCAGGTCTCTTCATAGTCATTGTATCTGCAGTGAAAAGCCATGCCGAGAAACAACACTCATGAAGATTTACGATCTCAATAGCTTCGATATCGTCAACGACAAACCGGAACGCACAAATTACATTTACCACTTTTCATCACGCATCAACCACGAGTGTCTCCCTAGCATGGCTCGAAGAGACACCAAGAATGGAGATTTGGTCTCTAGTGCTGTGCGGAACATCAAGCGGGGTGAAAAATTGACTACATTCTACCAAGCACCTTTTGGCACCACCCTCGCTCGCAGAAAGATCTTGCTATCTAAATATGGATTTACATGCAGTGCAAGGCTTGAATAAACAACAAAGTCCTCAATAACTATGGCGAGACTATGAAATATGCTCCTTGGATCATCGCCAACGAAAGTGGATCTGAGATTCTCAATAAGCCAACTATGGAGGAGATGCAAACCGCGAAGCTAGTCGAAAGCTGGTTTGAGAGTGTCTCCAAAGTAGCAGAAAAGGCCGGACAAGGTATGGCGATCGCTATCGGCAATGATCTTCTGCGAAGCCAAAGCACCCAGGAGCGACGACACCTTATTGTTGAAAATACAATGCAAATATTTGACGCTTATTTGCGAAAGAACAACCCCTATGGATTGAGCGATGAGATCATTTCTGCCTACCGATACCGAGCAAATACTTCAACTTTCGGCGCTGCAAGTCAAGTTTTCAACAACATGGAGAGGAAGATGGGAATTTCTCCAGAAGAATTCTGAGCGCAGAAGAGGACTTTTCGGGGATTGATATTAATCTGGATCTGCCATGATGACAATGGGTTTGTCAAAGGAGAGATATCTTTGGTGTGAGAGATGCGTGATTTTTATAGCTAGGAAAGGGCTTCGGCAAAAGCTGTGGAAGTTTTCATAAACTTCTCGAAATGAAGTCGAAATTTGAAGCATAGCTACACACCTTATTTGACTTAGAGTACCCCACAAGTTGTGTGACTATAGGAAATGAAGATGCCGCCATAGTTTTTATCGAGGCAGTAACGTGACGATAGAGTTAGAATATTGAGAATTTTAACTTTCAACCCACAGCTGTTGGCTGATAGGTTGATTGCTGATTAATTACGGAGTGCACAGCAACAGCAAGACGAAAAGGAATTTGACGACAACGTTCTTAGATTAGAACTTTGAAAAGTATTGCTACCATCAACAAATCAATAGTCATGATGATTAATCCTTTAATTCCTTTCCTTCTGGGAACTTTACATCTCATTTCATGTGTGAAGAGCTCTTCATTTGGTCCTTCCCAGATACCCATGAACCTGAACGCAGAACATTCCCGACTCACCGAAATTGAATCAAACCTCATCAGGCTTCACAAAGATCTCATTTCTATCGAATCCATTACTGGCAATGAGTATGATATTGGTCAATATTTATATTCTTACCTTTCATCCCGCAATTTTACGGTTGAAACTCAACATGTCTCTCCTAACCAATCACCATCCAATGTCCACAACGTGTATGACGAACCACGACTCAATATCTTCGCATATAAAGGGACAACACGAAATACTAGACTTCTAATCACAACTCATATGGATACAGTCGGACCATATATTCCATATTCACGTTCTTCAAATGGAGAAGAGAATAAAATTTGTGGTCGAGGAAGTACCGACGCCAAGGGATGCATGGCTTCTCAAATTATGGCTGTTGAAGAATTGATAGCTGAGGATTCAATTCATGAGGGTGATATCGGATTACTCTTTGTAGTCGGGGAGGAAACAGACGGTGCTGGTATGAAAAGAGCCAGCGAAATATTCCAGCAAGATGGCACGACATGGGAGAGTGTCATTTTCGGGGAACCATCGGAACACAAATTGGTTCTTGGACACAAAGGTGCACTTGCGTTTGAGATAATTGCTCATGGGAAGGACGCCCATAGCTCCTATCCAGAATTGGGGATAAACGCAATTAGTATCCTGATAAAGGCACTAGCGGAGATTGATGGAATGAGACTACCCGGAAGTGATAAGTTGGGTGAAACGACCACAAGTATCGGGATGATACAGGGCGGTGTGGCATTGAACGTCATTCCGGCAACCGCATCAGCTTCCGTCTTGACAAGACTGGCAGCCGGGACACCCGAACAAGCTATGAAAAGGATCGAATCTATCATCGCGAGTCTCGATATCGATGAGGGAAGTGTGGAGGTGAAACTTGGTCGTCATTTCGGTCCTGTGGACTGTAACGTTGATATAGATGGTTTGTTGCAAAAGCTTCCCAAGACGTGGACGGTACTGAGATACTCAATTTAGGTTTCGAGACGGATGTAAAGCGAGGAGGAACTGATGTTCCAAATCTTAAAGGAAGTCATAAGCGTTATTTAATCGGACCCGGATCTGTAATTTCGGCACATTCGGATCATGAATGTATAACTGCTGATGGGCTTACTAAAGGTGTGGATGATTATAAGAGAATCATCAGAAATCTTATAGCAAGATAACCTAAGGTATCCAATGGTTCAGATTACAGTTCACTATTGGAAACCTTCTAGGATCACCAAGCTTTGATAAGCATTGGAATGATTTACGAGATTAAGAATCGTGTTGTCGGAACCTCAAAGGTTGAAAGTTGAATTAGACTACAGTCCGGACCACTAGGAACACCAAAATGATTTGGCTGAGAGGAACCAAATGAGTACTAGTATCCAATGATTTGCTTAGACTGCAATACGACTAAACCCTTTGTTTCTTTTCCAGTTAGTGGTTAGCATTCAGATCAATAATTCCCAGTCATATTCTTTGTCTTGAGATATCAAGAATGTTCTATCGATGCTGCTTGAAATTAGTTATCAACTTTGTATTTCAGCTTCGGTATATAGCGGAATTCAATGAAAGAGTATTTCGGTGAGATCTTCACTCTGTTTGTTCTCAACTATTGAGCAAAACAAAGAGAGACTAGCGAATATCTTTTCCCTCAACTTGAATTCCTTTATTTCACTCAACGATTGACTGATGGCACTGCTAACATTGCAAGACAAAGGAGTGAGATAGCCTGTCACAGCAACGTTCTCAGTGATTGTTCGACAACTCCGTTTTTTTTGCGATTTTATATGACCCGTTGAGAGCTGAAAAGCGATTTCCATTTCAAACATTTGAGGCATTTTATCCTTCATTGCAACATGTGCTTACGAACAAAGTGCCACTACATTTAGTGTGATCAGACGCCATACTCCTGGATTATACAACCATGCAAGCCTCTTGGAATTTGCGAAAGGATACTCACTCAGGGGTTTTCTCTTGCCGACTTCTGCCCCGAATGTTACATAGTGGAAAATCCCACGGCATCCCTTTCCAATCAAGCTGCGGCTAAAAGATTCGGCACAGAATATGAGTTTGATCAACTTCGCTTCGAAGAGTCCAACTTGCCGGAGAAAGCTAATGCTGTGTTGAATCGAGCGCGTACCTTTGTGAATATGAACTTTGAGCCAGATGTTAGAGATAATCTTGATATTTTTTGCTCTAACGAGCGACTCAACCTCGATGTTTATAGTCATCTTTACCTCGTCGTTTTTCAACAACTTCTACCTCACCTTTGGCTCACTATTAGAGCTGGTCGAGCACAGGAAATACCCCGAGAGCATAGAATTATAATATTGCAATTAAGGCAGGCTATACTTCGAGATCTTGCATTTAATTATGCAGAGACCAATTACAAGGAGAAAAAAGAGGAAGGAAAATGGAGACAAGCGATGGGTGCCGACGCCCCGCTCATTGCAGAAGTTTGCGTTAATCCTTCAGCTGATAGATGCATGATATGCCTGGAATCGCTGAATAACGGGCCGTGTCTAAAGTTAAAGTGTAACCACACGTACCACAAAGATTGCCTTGCACTGATGGTCGAGTTCAAGGGATGCGCCATCTGCAGAGATGAATGCCGTGGTCCATTGCCTGATATATCAGTAGAGAATGATGGACCATGGCCAGAATGGTTACAAGCGATCGCTCCTTTTCAACGCCCACGAGTACAGGAAGAGCTTCTTGCGCAGCCTCCCCCTACAGATGAGGAAATAAGTGGATTAGAGGCGGCCTTCAATCAAACTCAAAAAAGAACTGCGGAGTTGTACGAGAATGTGCTGCGTGATCAACAAGATCTTTCGAATGCCAGATTCAAAGTGGAAGGCACTGAACACAACATGAAAGAAGCTTCGTCGAATATAAGTGAGCTTGTGTGGGTCGAACATAATAGTCGCATGGCTGCTGGAGTAGACGAGGGAAAGGAACCGATAAAGGAAACATGCACGCGCTATGAACAAATGCTCTACATGAAAAGACTGGAGGTAATGGATTACGAGTTCGATCACATAAAAAGCCTTAAGGAATACAATAAGTTACCTTCTGATGCTACCCAAGAGCTCAACCATAGGTTATATCGACGGAAAGAGTGGGTAGGCGCGCGAAGTCTATATCATACTCAGAAAAGAAAGCAGACAATAGGACAGGCATTGGAAAGTATTTACTTCAATATTCTACCCTTTGACGACACATGGAGTCTTCGCAATCTCAGGGAGGAGGAAGGCGAAGCAGAGGAAAGGTTGAGTCAATCTGAACACCTGTGGAGACAAAGTATAGTTGCGCGGGATGACGCTAAAGATAGGTGGGAATTTGCTCTATATCATAAGTCTTTGTTTGAGTCCAATGAATAATGCGATCAATCTATATCGAACAACACGAAGAGATTCTATATGTTGTATTTAACCAAAGATAGGGAATAGTAGTGTGAATTTGGGAGGGTTGATTTCACGTATGATCTCATGTAAACAATATTTTAGTTACTTTCTGGTTGAAGTGCTGCTGGTGCGATCTTCTATTTGAATTGAATACATTGGGGTTTTGACGACAATAAGAATTTTTACATTAAATGTATTAGAGATCTTTCATCACTTTAGTTAAACCATTGAAATATTATTTGAAATCAATCGTAGAGCGATAGTGTAGTGATGATGCTTTATAAAATAAGTCATTGAACTTCAAGGAAAGTTATTTTCCATCCACCAGATCTAAAAATTCAAGAAAACAAAGAATGCTGGAAAAAAATGACAATAGGGTTTTGGTGTACACGACTAGAAAACTTTCCAGGCCTATGTCTTTCATTTTAAGCCAGATTAAATTCCCACAAGACATTTATTTGACATGGCACAGTCTTTATTAAATACTGTAGGTGGTAGAACTTCCAACATCGTTACTACAAAGCAATGGAAGAGAGCTGAACTGAAAACATCTTGTATCCTCTATCTCAAAAGTGCGAGCATGGAAAGCATTGCTACTTTAAAGATGCCATTTTAACCAATATTGACCGCCAGAGATAGAGCGAAGGGCACTGGCACCTAAGCAGCTGTTGAGGGTGTGAAAGTCGCTATGCTTCAGACCAGTGACATATATCACTTGATATAAGATGGGAATTTTGCTAAAAAAAAAGACCTAACCAATGAATAGAAGCGGTGCTGAAGAAGATGTTCACAGTTCCTAACATGAACGAGGAAGGAGGGTAACTTCAAAGAAGAAGGTAGCGCGAACATTGAAACGATAAATCATATCGGAATGAGAATCCATTGGGCGTTCATACGCAAAAGAAGATTTACTTGGACCTGGATTGATGGAAATGTGTGAAGATCTAGAATAGATGGTTTGGCTGCTGTGATTGTCCAGAATTTGGGTGATAAAATTCATGGGTGCTGGTGGTGCGAAGCTTAAGGTGCCAAGCTAATAAGTAAAATGAATGACCCCGGCCAAAAGGTAATTACTCTTGATTACAGAGTATAACCTCAATCTCTCATATGTGTATCCTCTGAACATCAACAATCAAACGAGCTCGAATTCCTAAACTTATTTTTATCAATAATTCATCATTCAATTCTTAGTTTTATCCCAGTCACATGACAGCCCAGCTCCCTAGCTATGTTCATAGCACAGCACATCCCACCACGTTCCTACTTGGCACCGGTACTTCAATATGGTCTTCTCTCCTCCCACAACTCCTTTCCACAAACCACGAACTCATTCTTGTGACCTGCTTTTGGGCTTCTTCCTCTAGCCAGCGCGATATTTGTCAACTCCTCCTGAGACTATCGGAACGTGCGGTTTCAGATCAAAAAACCATCCATGTCCGGATTTGTTTTTCATCTCTTTCAATATCGCAAAAGATATTTCACACCCCTTCCTCCGACGGATATTTGTACCCAACATCTCAATATCCTTCACTTGGACTTCCATCTGAGTCGGACATACCGGGGTTAAATCTACGTGTCAAGTCGATTTTTTTCCGCCCATGTCACGTTTTGCATGGGAAATACATCATACAAGATACTCGACGCATTTGGTTTCCGAGTTGTAATGTGAGTTGGGAGCCATGGGGAGAAGGATGTATTGGATTTGAACGCGGGGAGCTGGTAGAAGATTTGCGGAGTTATTGGAGCAGGATCTGGAACGGCGATGGTCAGATGACAATTCCCGAAATGTCGTGGACGTCGGCTCAGCTAGCAGAGAGGAGTCCATCGATACATGCCGAGCTATGGAATCCAGATTCATCATTGTTAAGTGTCGTCGACCTATCAAAACTTCCACAAAACACCGAAACACTTCTTCTTCCACATACACACTCTGCATATAATCCATTTTCTGTTATTTTTAGACCGAATGCAAAAACACCCTCAACACCACTCAATACATTCTTGCTATCACGAATTTCAACAGCCAAAACATCAATTACAATCTACACTCCAAATATTACATATACACCAGTCATAAATTCAATATTCGAAGCATTAGATAAAGGTGTTGATGTCCGAATTGTGGTCTCGAAGAAGTTGATGATCCTAGAGCAATTAGTAACAGCCGGCACGATCACTGAATGGGAGGTATGGAAGATGAAACGTCGATATCGTAAGCTTGTATCTCGTTCATCACGGAGGGTCGATGACATTGAAGCCGGTAATTCTAGAATAGGAGCTTTAGAAATTGTGTATTTCAACCCCGCTCTCGTACGTATGAGTGATTCCCATGACCAGAATACGATAACTGATGGAACACTGGCGAGAGGATTTGAAAGCATGGGAAAGGAGAGCAAGCCAGTCAAGCTTCATCTCAAAATGACGATAATTGACAATGAAATAACGATTCTTGGCAGTGGCAATATGGATCGGGCGAGTTGGGTGACTAGCCAGGAGTTGGGAGTCGCAATTTTTTCTGGGGAAGTATCTAATAAATTGGTCGAAGTTGCCAGGGGGGTTTACGGATGAATGGATAGTTGCATGATAGGTCTTGTGGTGTATATCGAATCACCACAGAATAGCGTATTGATGAATTAGAAAAGGCCAAAGATTGCACATGCCATGGCACTAGGATGCGAATGAAAAATAGAATGGATACTCATCGATACAAAAACGGGTACATTGTTACCGCGTGTAATCTTTTTTGAATGTTACAATTCATTTGTTGATAAGCTATCGTCACCTTGAGGTATTCTTCCTAACGCCTTCATGTATGCATCATTACATACTATGACATGCTCCTCAAACCCAGAGTCGAACGTTAAAATTCTTCCACCGCACAATTAGGATGCAATACATAAACAACTGATTCCTCTGACCTCGAACTGCCTTCCCCATTCGTGTTATCCTCATCAACCAATCCTTGCCCACGAATTGCCATTAAAATATTTTCCTATAGGATCAAGTGTTAGTCCGAAATTCACAAAGCCTTCCATGTACGACGAGCTGAAGCGACGAACAGGAGTAGAAAAGGAATGAAAGTAGTAACGAACCTTGAGCATCCTCTTGATAATCTTTTTGCACAATTTCATTTCTTCATGATATGCCTCTTCGTCAGCTAGATCACCTTCGATCTGTTCCAAATACCACTCTACCAACTTCTCTCCCTCCACTCCTTCACCGCTACCCAACTCATCTTCATTGATCCTCCTAACCAATAGGTTGACCACTCCAATGTATTTGTCATAAGTAATCTTTGTCTTTTGTCTTCCATCTCCTTCAGCCGGCGGTACACTTCCATTGGCATCCTGGGTATCCTCATCCATGGCGTCATCTGCATCATCACTCGCAGCTGGAGCTGGAACTTCCTCATCATCGTCATCAACCTCAACATCATCCTTCTCAACACTAATAATACTCTGTCTCAAAAGATTAAAGGCTTCAACAACCATTGGCTCGGTAATTTCCTCAACACAATTCGCCTTTGCAATAGCCTCACTTAATCGAATCATACTCTCCAATTGTCTGACTGTGATGCGATAACTGTTTCTACCTACGCCTCCTTGAGCATCATCATTCCTCAATTCTTTGTATTTTTGTACTAGTAATTCCTTAGCTTCATCCGTGAACTCTGGTTTAAAGGTTTTGGCAAAACGGATGTAGCGCTGGAGTTGCTCGGTCGTGAATTCGGGTTGCACTGCTTCGTCACGAAGTTGATGGATCCCTACAATATGTTCTGCTAGATGGCGATCCACAGTTTCGTTACATTCATCCAGAATAACAAAGAACAAATCGAAACGCGACATAATAGGAGCGCTCATATTAATATTAGCTCTCAATGTCGTCTTTCGGTTGTATCTCCCCCCTACAGGATTTGCAGCTGCGAGGATTGAGGTTCGAGCATTCAACGTTGCTTGGATACCTGCTTTAGCAATGGAAATGGTCTGTTGTTCCATAGCTTCGTGAATGGCGACTTGATCACTGATATCCATTTTATCGAACTCATCAATAGCACAAATACCATTATCTGCTAACATCAGTGCTCCAGCTTCAATAGTGAATTCTCCTGTCTCCTCGTCTTTGACTACAGCAGCTGTGAGACCGGCAGCCGAGGAGGCCTTTCCAGATGTGTAGACCGCTCGAGGAAGAAAAGAGCAAATATATTTGAGGAATTGAGATTTCGAGGTGGAAGGATCACCAACTATGCAAATATTGATATCACCCCTAAGTTGCATTCCTTCCGGGGTAACTTTGGAAACACCGGACATAAGTTGAAGGAGAAGACCTTTCTTAACAATTTCATGTCCGTAGACCATAGGAGCGAGTGAATTGACGAGACGTGAGTAGATGTGGTCCGAATGAACCATTTCTTTGAGATCCTCAATTTCGGCATGTGTCATGGATGCAAGAACAGCTTCCTGGGCGTGATCTCCAGGCTCGTTAGGATCAATGGGAGCCGTTTGATTAAGGGATGCGAGAATGTTATTGGACTGTCCGTTGAGTTGTTGATTTGCTGCTGCTCCCTGGGTGGAAGTATCGGGTGTAACCATACATGACAAGAAAGCAAGTCTGTATGTAAGATCTCTTACACCGAGCGCTTTTAATCCAGTGACACCGCTTGCATCTCCACTTCGATTTTGTGTATCTCTAATCGCCATTGGTCGAACACCAGGTAAACCAAGTTGACTAACATCAGGAACCACAATAAGAGCTCCCGTGAAAATACATTTCTCTCCAGCCTTCGCACGATCGACAATTTCTCCACGAAGAATAACATCCATAGTTCTTGGCATACTTCCAGTAGGGATTTCAGAACTATTCTCCTGCACACGAACTTTCTGCCAATCCACAAATGTACTTTGTCTGATATCCAGTCTCCATGCTTGTCGATTGTTACACTCCAAATTCGGACATTGTGTAGGTTCGGTATATCTAAA